TTGGTTGTTTGGTTCATTAATTTTGGGTCGAGTCCAAAACCTCGATTTATTGGATTTCTTGGGTTGGTTCTAATCTCGTTGTGGGTTACGTAGCTATTATTGTTACGTGGTTCTCATCAGATGGTAGTCGGAGTTTGTGGTGTCAAATATGCAGTAAATAGAGAGAAGCCTCTCCGACGGCCTCACGAGGCTACATCGCCACTCCCTTTTCTCCGGCATTTTCACCGGTGATGAGGGTGAGGTAGAGTAGACAGAGTTTGAAAATGAGAAAATGAATATGAATATTAGCATTTGTGATGTAGATATATAATTAATTGAATTTTATAATATTATTATTTAATTTTAAAATTTGTATATCATTTGTTTTTTGTATATATAAACTATAATTCTGATTTTTGAAATACAGTTTTTAAAAGTAGGCCTCCATGTAATTTCCACTAAAAATAAATGGTAGAAAGCAACTATAAAAAAGTGGTTAGCAATTAATTAAACAACCTTTTGGGCCAATGAAGTTACAATTAATAACATTTCAAATTTTACTATGTAATAATTTTTTTCCCAAAAATACCTTAAAATTGTAGTAAAAAAAAAGAATGGGGGAATATCACTCAACTCAACTCATTCATGATAATTAATTATGGGCTGATTTTACCCCCACCAAATACATCCCTTGCTACAAAGAACCCGTATTCAACTAATTGTGCGATCATATTTATAACACAAAATCAACATCGCGTAATTTTAAATTAGGGTAACACAATGAATATCCAAAGTCGGAATATGGAAATATTTGGGTCCCAATTATTTTTTAAGTTACACGTACACACTCAGACAAAGGGCCATAGGAAAATTCATTCACAATTTTAATGTCAGATACATACATGCCACCGTATATTTCATTCAAATCAACACAAACTGAGTTACACCATTGTTTGAAATCTAAATTTGGTATGTAGTATTTCTTAAATTATTCATCAATGCTGATAGTATTTTCTGGATTATAAATGTAATATAGTATTTTTCGTTCTTTTTAATATAACATAAGTTAACAGGTACCGTGGCAACTAGTTTTACTATTCGACCTTATTGTAATCGGGTTTATTCCTGGTTTTTAATTCAAGTGGTTTTTAGTCATAATGAAATTTGTTTGAAGATTGGTTCCTAGGTTTTCCGGTTCGATTTGGTTTTGACAACATTGGTTCCAAGGAATACGTGGTCGATAAAGTCCTAAAGAATGGTTAAAATGACATATGACCAGTTTATGATCACTTGAAAACTTTGCCAAACATAGTCTCTCTGCTCGGCAAGGTTTTGGACTTCTTGGATAAGCTTGATTTCTCTGCATATATGTGATGATTACGATATTATGTTTTGCTTCGATTGCTGCTGAATTTGTGATGAATTTTTGGGATACCAAATGTTGAATTTTGGTTTTTGCCTGGTCGACGTGGAATACCAGCACACAAAAAGCCTCTACTCGAATGTGGTTCTATTACATTGGGAAGTTTTTAGGCTGCTATCCATCTCAACTTTTGCCACTTTTTTGAAAATAATGTGTGGAGACCTCTAAATGAAGTTTGTGAACTGTGTTGGAAAAATTGGTTTTATTAGTTGGATTGACAATCTTTTGACAAATTATTTTAGTGCGCCCCGTTAGTTGGACTAAATATTTCTTTGACAAAGTGTGTTCTACTCCTT